TTTAGAGTTTCGCGTTTCTCTAATCAACAAAAAACGTTTTTTAATTTTCTTAAAATTAGGTTTTTTCCAATATCGGAAGGTCGTCTTAACGAACCATTTATTTGGATTGGATTCTGTGAGGAACGAATTATTATTTTGGTAAGCTTCATACCCATGCTTACACTCAATGCGTCAATTGTACTCGGAGATTCTAGACATCCTTGGATTAATACCCATGTGTAATCGGAACACATACGAGAACTATTTAGAGCTTCTATCTAATCAACAAAAACCTTCTTTAATTTTTATATGATAATAGTCGCCTCTTTTATCTGTCATTGGTTCTATAAATGGTATTAGTGACTTGGACGAAACTTGTCTCCTATTTAAAAACGATGTTCATGGAGAAAGTTTAGCGTCGTGGCTGAACTTGGTGTAGTACGGAATAACGTCAACGCTATTTCTAATGTTATTATCAGATTTTCGAGAGGAATACTCGACCAAAATTGTGTAATGATATAATTATTAAAAAAAAATTTATTTAAAAATAATAAATTTATCAATAATAAAATTCTTACTATTTAATTTTTTTTTTACAATTGCCGATTACATAAGCGATCCGAACTGTACAGTATATGTACGTATGATCTTATAAAAGCAGATAAATAAGTCAGTATTAAGTGGCAGATACAGTAAATGACCCTTTACATTAAAAAAAGATGGAGGTGAGATAAACTTTTTATTGGTAAGTGGGTTTTTAAATAATTAATTTTTATTGGCCAATGCTTTCAAATTTTTTTTTTAAAAATAAATGATTGGTAAAAAAAAAAATGAGTAGCACATTTTGTCATATGAGCATTTTGTAATACGATTTAAAAGAATTCGAGTTTAATTAATTTCAGTTACAACATTATGACTGACAGAATTGCAATTGGTCTTGATACAATAAATAATAAATTAAAAATTTTATTAGAAGAAAATAAGAGGACTAAGCAGCAATATGAAATTCTTCAAGAAGAAAATAGAGAAACCTCACGTATTAATTCTGATTTAAAAGAAACTCTTCAACGATTTGAAGAACGTCAACGACTGGTTCTAATTTTAGAAAAGCAAAAATTAGAAGAAAGTAAAAGATTTGAACGGCAATATAAGAATCTTCAAGAAGAAAATCGAGAATTCTCACGTATTAATTCCGAATTAAAAGTAAAGCTTCAAGAAAGAGATGAACAATTAGAAAAACTTCAACGAAATGTTTTAAATTTTGAAAAACAAAAAATTGAAATCCAAGTAATTTCTCAAAATATAGAAAAAACTCTAGAAATGTTAAAATTAGACGAAGTTAATTTGAATAATGATAAAATTCTTGAAGAAACAAATAAGCCTTTAATTAGTGAAAAAAGTGAACAAAAAAGTATCATTAATAATGAAATAACTGGCTTTCCTTTAATTGATAATTATAGTTTTCAACTTTCCGAACATTCGTGTAGCTCTTTTAGTGGAGGTATGTAGTGCAAATGTATAGATATTTATTGAATAAGAAGTCTAATAGATAAACTAATTTTAAATTTGTAAGGTGATTGTATTCGAGTCGTGGTTGGGTTAGACTTTGGAACAACTTACTTTGGATTTGCTTATTGATATATTACGAGTCCACAAGTCATAATTTCTAATGATCGTTGGCCTAAAATTTGTGGTGAACTAAAAGTTAATACAGTTCTTCAATATGATGAAGAATATAATAAAGTAATATCATGGGGCGCTCCAGCTTTATTTAGTAGACCAAATCGTCGAAAGAGAATAAGTAAAGATAATGAAACGAAACCCGTTGAATTATTTAAATTACATTTGAGCAATTTACCGGACGAGCTTAAACCGAAACTTCCAGTTAGATATGAAAAGGCTATTACTGATTATCTTAGAGAAATCGGAAAGGTATGATCAAAATTCTACAAAACCTTTTAATATATATATTAAATTTAAGTTTTATTTGAATTTTTAAGGTGATTAAGGAGACAATTGCAACAACCTGGCAAAACATAAATTTCTTTGAACATGTATTATTAGTTCTTACGATTCCAGCTGATTATTTGGATAAAGCAAAAGCGATTATGCGAGAATGCGCATTTAAAGCAGGGTTGGTTGGGGATAAATATTCAATGAAATTGCAATGCATTACAGAATGTGAGATACATTCACTATTTATGGTTTTATTTTATTTTATGTTTTTGATCTTTTGATTTCTAATTTAATATGGTCATTACTAGCTGAAGCTGCAGCAATACATTGCATTTTGGAGCACGCGATCTGAGAAAACTAGGAAGTATGTATAAAAATTAACTCGGATTTTCTATTCTATAATTAATTTAAAAATCTAACATCATCAAAATTATTTACAGCTACTTTTATGGTTGTTGATTGTGGTGACACAATAAAATTTACTACTTGTAAATTAACAAACGAAACACGAGTGACTGTAGTTACTGAGAGGTCTGAAATATGCGAAAGTACTTTTTTTGATGCTGAATTTGTTAAATACTTGCGTAAAATAATTGGTGATCGACCTATTGATTTATTAAGAGAAAATTATAGTGGACAGATGCAATATATGATTCAAAATTTTTCTCAACAACATAAATATACTTTTACGGGAGAAGCCAAAGACTTTAATATTTATGAATTGGATCTTGAAAAAACTGCTCCTTCGATATATCTATGTATTACTGATAATAAAGTTAGAGAATGGTTGGAAGAAGCGGGTGGGATAATTGAACTTGATTTTAATAACATGAGATCAATTTTTGACCCTTTTATCGAAAATGTTATACAATTAATTCATACGGTACTCGATAGATCTCGTGAAACATGTTCAGAAATGTTTTTAATTGGAAGTTGTAGTGTATCACAATATTTTCAAAATAGGATTAAAAAAGAATTTCAACATAGAATATATGTTTCGGTTCCTACTAATCCTATGGTTGCAATTGCACAAGGAGCAGTAAAGTATGACTTGATAATTATGTTTGAAAATATCGGTGAGTCTTTTTGATAATTACCATTATATACATATAATTATTTATATTAATTTATGTATGTTTATTAAAGAACTCAATTTTTTTATAATTTTTACTTCAAACCTGATTCATATAAAATCCATGATAATGGATCTTAGGGAAACTTACTAATAATGTTTCGAGAGAATCGGATTGTTGTTCCTTCCATAAAGGTGTAAGGTCAAATTATCAGGATTCAATTCCGACATATCCTATGAATTGCATCACCTCATGGAATAAAGTTTGGTATTTTCAATATTTTAAAATCATTAATTTTAAATGAAAAATAAATTCGTCATATAACGAATTTTTAATCATACAATATAATATATTTTTTTAAAAATAAAATATTGTTCCTGAATTTGAAACGCCTTTCAATTCTCATCTAAAACAGGTTTAATAAGCCAAGTTATAAATCATAATTTCGCCAAAATTTATTTAAAATATATTCACTAGTTGATGTACATTTTAATATTTTTTTTTTCTTCATAATTTCTTATTGCCATTCTCAATGAAAAATTCTTAATGCAAGAATCGCAACATTAAAAATAATACGATATGACAGAGTAGTCTCATTCACTTCCAGATATATCATCAATAGAATACTCTCTTATAAATTTGTGAGTGAATGTTCGAGATTTCATAATAAATCAAGAATTTCGGGATACCTATACGACAAAGTGAGCAAATTGATTGTGCCGCCGAAAATGCCGTCAAAAATTTATACTTTTTTACATTATTTAGTTTGGTCTGTTAGATCATTGATATGATGTGATTGACATCCTGATTAGTCTTTTATAAATTAAACTTGCTAACTCTCATATTTTAATAGTCGTGTTGGATTAACAAAAATGGGTCCTATTTTTTCTTTCTAGTCCATCATTCGACTATGATGGTTAGCGAATTGTAACACAATCAAATTCTGTCGATAAAGTACAAGTAATCACCATTCTACAAAGCTTAAAGTTGAAGACTCAATTAAATGCGCCGCAAGGACAGTGGAATTATTAGTCAACCTCATCATTCGATATTTTCGGTCACAATGTTCCAAATACAGATAGTCATTTCATTTTCGCACTGTAGAAAATTTATTGGTAACGAATGATAAATGCGAGAGAGGAAATATTATGCGTCGTAAAAAAAAAACTTGGAGGGAATATTCCATCCAATAAAAATATGAATAATGAATTAAATTAATTAGATTTAGAAATACTTAATAATATAATAGATGATAATTATAATTTACATTCACGCAAATTAGGGATTCTAAGAAATATAATCGTGATTAATCGTGATTAATCGAATTTCGAGTTTCGATTATAATAATTTTATTTTTCGGGTTCGAGCATTTCGGAAAACATTTGTTTATTTTTAGTTTCATTTGCTTCAATTTTTTTTTACTTTCAGGTTCTTTCGCAGCGATCAAATGGTTTTTTTCGATACTTTTTTTAATAAATTATTCTTTTGGTTTGGATCATTTTAGAAATACGTGGTATATATTTTTTTCATTTTTTAGTTTTTTAATTTTATCAATTGCTGATCGCGGTGATAAAATATTGTATTTCTCTTGCACTTTTGATTTAATATTAATTTTTTTTTAGTTTTTTTTTTAAGTTGGATCACTTTGGAAGGAATAGGTAAGTTTTTTTTCCATTTCTTTTGATCAGATAATTTATTTTTTTTTAAAAAAATTAAAGTAGATTAATTTTAACAAGACACCTCACCTCACCTCCTATCCCAGAAAAGAATTCCTTTTTCCTTATGATTTTTTTTCCTTTTTTTTTTTTTTTGGTACTTTGTAAATTCCTTTTAATTCCTTTCACATCACATTTGAGTTGTGGACATAGTTTAAGTTGATTTTTGATTCCTTTTTTTTTTCTTGATATAAAAAAAAATGAATGATAGGATAAATTTCAATTACACCATATTTTTATTATAGTCGGACTAAAAATTATTCGATTTTGGAATCGATTCATTTTGAAATTTCATTAAAGTTTAGGAATTCCTATTAAAAGTTTAGGTAAAGAAATATTATAAACTAATAGTTTCACCTCTCTTGTAGATTGCCATTATTTGAATATTTTGCACCTTTGTTTTCTATATTTTGAATAATACATTAATTTGCTTTTAATCGACTTAAATTTTTAATAAAATGTTTTACTTTTAAACTTGTTATTATATAATTGATAAACTGCTAAAAAATTTGAGATATTTTATAACTCGAATTATAAAAAAAATATTTCTTTTTTTTTATTAAATGTATTTTCAGCAAACATTATATCGCAAAAGTAGCTTACTGAATAAATAAAATTTCCTTTTATATGACAAATACTGTAATTTTAAAGTGTATAAAACGAAAAAAAAAGTCTAACAGAGTAATAAAAATTTATATAATCTTTTTTTTTTTGTTATAATTAATTTTCATGCATTTAATGTTCTAATATACTCTTTTATACCCTAATTTTCCTTTTCAAAATTTTCACCTCCGAAAGAAAACTTTGGCGTTTCCTAAGGAATCATCTGAAACAAACGAACGATTCTTTTTCGTAAATTTATTGTGCAATATTTGATGTCAACTTCCCTTAATATTATGTTCATTACTATAAAGTTCAAGTGTCTAAACAATGTAAATCATTGATCCGATCCTGTATATTACCGTATATTGTGGGCCATAGTACCCCGGGTATCTTGCAAATTTCGGATGTCTTGTACTACCGAGAATTTTTATTATCAATAGGATGTGTAGACTTGTATCACATCACCCTATTCAAAGAAGTTTTAAAAAAAAAAAACTGGTATAACGATAACAACCACTAAAAATAATAAAAGACTTGTATAACATTCAGAAAATTGTTTATGCGTCAAAATGAGATTTCTAAATAACAAGAACAATAATCTTTTTCGGGTAAAAAAGGGGGGATATAATACATGGGGGTATTATGGCCCGTAATATATTTTTAATTTTACAATTTTTTTTTATACATTGTTTATTCACGAAAAATGATTTATTAAATACAGTATTTCTAATTTCTAATTAATTACAAAATCTATAATATACATTAAGGAGGATTGTTACATATTTTTACATTTTCTACAAAAATAAATAAAAATTTAGAAATTATGTATTATGAATAATGCAAAATTATATTCTTTCAAATTCAATAACTTTTAACTTTTTCCTTTGTGTAATTAATGACTTTTTTATTTAAAAAATTTGATAAATATTATACTTACTATTTTCGGAATATTTTTCTGATTTTCTAAATAATCTAAATAACCTTTTACCATAATCTAATAATATATAAAGAGTGAATATATTTATTTTTGAAATAATTAATTTAAATTAAATAAGAAGTAATTACCGATAAGAAAAACAATGATTTTTGATGTATCTTTGATTTTCTTATTATTAACATTATTAAATTCACTAACTAAAAAAAAAACTATTAATATATCTAGATCTATTATTCAAAGTTTGATAATATTCCAATAAATACTTACCATTATCAGGAATGTTAAAACTATAAGGTTTACTATGAAATGCTTCAAATTTTTTTAAATTTGAGAAACATAATTAAAAACATACAGTATATTCCAATATGAAATTCAAATAATTCAAAATTAATTTTAATTAAATACCTTCTTGTTCCACTATTTTTATTTTTAAAAAGGATTATTTATAATTAACATTAATTATATTCATATATTTTTATTCGTAAAAAAAAAAAATTTAAAAATTTAAATAATACCTTCTGTTATATTTCTTGTTATTGAAAATGGTTCATAATCAAAACTTCGCTTCTTATTTAGCTCAGATAGTATGTTTTGATTAAAACTATTCTTATTTAATTCATTAAGATAGGATTTATTAATTTTTTTCATTTTTTTTAAAAGAACATTAATATTAGGTCTTTGTAATGGATCGGCATTCCAACATTTTTCCATTAATTTTTTATATTTTAAAGGAGTTTCTGCTACAGTTTCAGGTCTCGTTCCATCGACTATTTTGTTCCAAAGTTCAAATTTTTGTTGATCATTAAAAAAAGGTGACTGTCCGGATGAAATTTCCCACATAAGCATGCCGATGCTATAAATATCAGATGCAAAAGTATATTCTTTTTTTAAAAGAACTTCAGGCGCTATATAAGGAAGATTGCCGTAGATACCATTTAAATGCTTATCGACAGGACCACAAAATCCGAAGTCACCAATATACCATTTATGAGTCATCAAAGAATATAATATATTTCTAGAACTCAGATCCCTATGAATTAAACTTTCTTTATGAATTCTGAAAAGTGCTTTAATTATATCAAAAACAATCTCAATTCTCTCTTTCCATACAAGTTGTTGATGATTTTGTTTTAAAAACTTTCTCAAATCTATATCCATTTTAAACATTATAAGCATATAATTTTTATTATATGGATCTTGTGTTATACCAAAACATCTTATTACCTCTTCCCATTTATTGCTTATATTTATATGTGATTTCACCTAAAACAAGGCAGTACGTTATTAACACTTTTTAATAGAAAAAAATCTTTGAAAATTTTCAAATCACATACCTCATCAAACCAATTTCTATTAGTATTTTCAACATTATTTAGATCCTTAAGTACTACTTTATATGTCGTACCTAATCTTTTTAAATCTCGTTCTTTAGAATCCCATTCTTCGTAATATCCATTAATCCAATCTGCTATATAGATTTCAGAAAATCCACCTTTAGTTAGATATGTAATATTTTGTAAATTTTCATATGGAATCCATTCTATTATCTTGTTGGGTGCAAGTGATTCCATTTGGCATTCCTGTATTTAGCTATCGATGTCAATATTTCCAGATGTCCAATCCGTAAATTTTTTTTCTAAGTAATTTCGAATACAATATTCACAATATAATGTTGCAAAACATTCTTTATGACAATCTCCACAAGATCTCTTTGTTCCTCGTTTATAAAGCACTTTATCACGGTTATAATTTTCAGTTATTATTTTTATTGCTTCTGATTTTTCTGCTTTTGAAAGAGATTTATCAGCGACAATTGCATGTTTTCGAGATTTATACCGCTTGTCTGGATGATCATTATCTATTAGCGCAAGTGTTTTAGCAATAGCAGCTTGAACTAATTCATTTCTAATCGCAGACATAATTTTTAGTTTTAAGTCATTATTAATTGATCAAAATATATACGCACGGCCAATAAAATATCTATGCTGTGTTACGATAGGCTAGTAGATAAAACGATCGACATACATTGTTCATTTCATTACTGCGGCATTAAAACTGATTGTTTTCAGCCTTCAACCAGGTACAGTGTTGTACATTTTTTATGTGATTTTCGTTGGTGAGACGGTAAAATACAGAGCGATACAGCGAAAAGAAGTTGTACGGGTAGACCATTTGTTTTACGTTTTATTATAATTTTCTGTCGTCATGAAAGATTTAACACGTGATATCTTTGTCCAAGCCATTTTAAGAACCAAAATATTGTCCAAGAATGTCACACTACCCTAACGTAGTGTTACCTTGTGATTGTAAAAAGATGAAATATAGAAGAATCCTTATTACCTGGTTTTTACTGCGCAAAAATTGATCAGCGCAATACGAATCTGACATTTCGCACCTCTCTACCCAATGAACTGATGGAAAATATATGTCAAACTGATCACTTTTGACATCAGGGATTAATTAAATTGCCTATCAATCATTCAGCCGCAATTGAATGATCTTTTTAAGGGAATTCCGTAACAAAACTATGGAAAGGAAATTTTATTAAAAATCGTCTCGTATCGTTCTTAATATTGGATAAAATTGTAGAGATAGAATAGAAACATTCTTTTCTCTAAAGTCCTATTACGGGGCGTCGTCTGAGGCAGTAATAAATTGATTTTCTTGTATTTTCTTATAATTTATTTAATAAACTTATTTCTTTTTCATTTTATCATTTATTTTTTTTTAATTTGATCGACACAGTTACGTCGAACATCGTTAAACAAATAAAACAAATAAATTTAATTGCCTTCCTTACGAAACTAGGAGGTAACAATACTATTATATCTCTAACATCGTCGTCGAAAGATGACATGTTGTTAGAAAATGATTATTTGTAAACATTCTGAAATAATTAGTTATCGACTGTTGCAATTAATATATTTTTCTTTAATATTGCGAAGGACAACAAGAAAACCAAAGGGATGGATTGGATGATATAGGAGAAAAAGCAATTCAGTATATTCATTGTCAACTACGATTTTATTAAGTGAATTTTATCATTAGTATTAGTTTATTTCTATTTTTATTATCATTTTATTATTATTTTAGTTAATTATTATTACATGTATTAAATTCGACTAGCGATTATTTAGTTAGAGCAATGAAATAATTGTTTCGAAGCCAAATTGGTCCACTGGCCATAATTATTCTCCGGCCAAATCAGTCTCCTGGACAAATATAAACGGCGGGATTTTTCCTTAATAAAATTTAAGATACAGATCCTTTGATGTGCAACAAATAATTTTCGCATTAGTCCGGAACTAAATGAAGGACTATGTGGGGCCTTTGCAATAGAAAGGGGGGAAACTGCCGGAAAAATAAAAAATGAGTAGTGCTAAATTTGAACATATTTCAGCCTAAAAATCATATTTGGCATATAAAAGTAAAATTAATTTTTCCCGGCAGTTTCCCCCCTTTCTATTGCAAATGCCCCATATGGGTGGTCCGTATCTCAATTTTAATAGGTCTATGCTAGGTGACAGACACAAAAATGTCCCTCTCAAATTGAGTCGATTCGTGATTGGTCTCCTTCGTTACACTTGTGTCCCGAACTTAACAACGGTTTCCGAAACCGTTTCCTAGTATTTAGTGTTTAATAAATCCTGATAATCCTATAAAATAAACTTCGTGTTATTCTCTTTTTCCCTTCACATTTTATTATAATAACACCAATAATAATTAATATACGTACCTGATCCGACGTTGTAGGAACACCTTATCTACGTTGTATTAGATTAGAAACTCCGTTATTATTAATAAAATACATCAAACACGATCCTTCTGCTTACCTTTAAACCCCGTTTATAATTCCATAAACACTAAAAAACTGCTATTAACATTACCAATTATATAATTATGATTATGCAACCATTAGATGATCTATACTAGTTGCTATTTCAGTTTACTTCTTAAATTAAATATTTAGTTTAAAAGTTTCGATTATTTAAAAAAAACATTATAACATAATCAGATTAAAATATTTAATATGTATCTTTTAAAATTTCAAAAGAAATTTATTAAAATATTAAATATAATTTTAATTATCGTGCTCCACGATAAGATTTGTCATAATATAAATCAAATGTTAAAAATAACATAATATTATTACTTGCCTTTAGAACCCTTAGAAGGTCGACCAAATTTTTATTGTTTCATTATCCAATATAAAGGTTTGGTATAAAGAAAAAAAAACGGAAAAGGAAAAATAGAAAATAGTTGAACGAATAAAATGGTATAAAAATAATTGAAAAAGAAACTGTCCGTTGGAATATAAAGAATGAGCTTTAAAATTCTACTTAATTTAACATCATGAGTGTGCGTATATAAATTTTATTATTGAAGATTTTTAGTTACATAAAAATAAATAGGATTCGCTATAGCATTTTCTCAATACCACCAATTTATATCAATTTATCCCAAACTTTTACATAATGTTGCGTATTTTACTCTCTGTCTTCAAAATAACTTTAAATAACCCGTTCATAAATGTTTTTGAGAGATGTCATAATTAATAATCATTAACAAAATCTTTATAGATTATTGTGCAAATTTATTATTATTTTCGCAACATTATCATGAAGAATAGATTCTGTAAGCAGTTAGACTTTTAAATTGAAAATTAAATGTGAAAAACGTTATGAAATATTTGTTTGATAAGAATGAAAACTCCTAAGGGAATATCAGCATCAAACACAAAATCATTAATGATAAATTGCTACAAAACTAGGAATTGTGAAACTGACGTTTTTTGTATCACCATACATAATTTTGATAAACATAAATAACTTTATAATTTACAAATAAATTAAGATTTAAACAATAAAGATCTTAATGTCTGATTTTGAATATAAATTCTTTTTTCACTAGATATTGATGATACTTCAAAAGTTCTAATTGTCTATACACATTAAATTATTATTCTATAAAAATTAACATCCTAATTTCCTAATTCGGTCTGGAAAAATTAAACGTGTGAATGCGAATATGACTCGAATTTTTCAATTTGGTTTTGTTTCCAACTTTAATGTTGGCATTTCATGGATCAGAATTCCGAATATGTCGTCAGATTTGGAGTATATTTAGCGTCTTCTCAACAAGCCAAACGAACGACTCGATCCATCTAAGATGATATTTACAAACATATCTCTTGTTCCCTTCCTTCAAATTTTCCGAAAATTACAATTATCAAGTCAGTTGAATCATTTTGTTCAATACATAACGAATTTCTACTAACCGTAGAAAATCACGCAATGATCAGAAATTTACTGATAAATGAACTTGCGCCAGTCGCTTAATTAACATTAATCGTTGCAGTTCGACTTCCTCGGATAAAGAAATTAGACATAAATAAATAAAAAATTACTTACTTTTAAATTGTACTTAAATTTTGGTAAATTTTGTTATAAAAATTTTGGAGTTTCGATTGGTGACGCGACATGTGAAGAACTGCAGTAAATTAAGCAATTGAAGAAATTGTTGAAGAATCGAAAATGTTTTGAGATAACAGACGAACATTTTGGAAGCTACGAAGTCATTTCCAAGGAAGTAGTCGATAAAAGTACATAAAGCAAAAAAATTTAAAAAAAATGTATGCTTATCTAATTCTATATAGATATAAAAATGGTGTAACAATACATATAAAATTGATTCTTTACATTGAGCGACAGAATATTTCTAACAAAATTATTCAATGATATCTCTATAACCGAAGAAAAGAGCCAGAACATGTTGTAACTCGAAATAAGATAGTCCATATATTATAACATAATCATGCATTAGTGTTTTTGTTTTCGGAATGAAGAGACGAATCTAAAGGAATAGAGGTTAAGTAATGAATTTTCGTATAAAAATACTTCAGATTTTTTTTTTCCTTCTAAAAAAATAAACTTTTTTTTCTCAAAATTCGAGTTGCTTTGGAATTTCCCGCATCATAACCCTACTATGTTTTTTTTCCCGCATATTATTGGTTCTTTAATCACTCCAATCATCCTTGACTAATCAAGTCTTGTTGATATTTATTATTATTTTTTTTATAGGAAGAGCAATAATACTTAGTTGATATAGGCTCATACACGAATGTTTCGTGTCCATTTGTGATGATGCGATTAATTCTTGTACGGATATTTACATACGAAACTCGTTATATGACATTTTAACAAGTACCAACGTTACACTAACTATTGACATACACTATGGTTTTGATTACAAAAATAAACACTGCTTCTAAGAATAAAACCATTAAATATTTTCTATATTAGATTACGAATTCATTCCCTCGATTTTGAAAATTCAACCATATGAAAAAAGTCATCTACTAATCTTAATAAAGTATTAAATCACCGAAATAGAAATATTTGTTATTTAGAATATAACTTGATTGTTATTACATAACGTACCGGAAAATAAAAAACTGGTAAATATTTTGTATGTTCATTCACTTGAAACGTGCAGAACATGTGATCTTTATGAATCAGAAAGAACTTTAATTTTTCAGTTTAATTATTCATGGGATTACAAAAGATCGGAAATATTTTTTGACAGGGATATTTATTCATTTAGTAACCGATTTGCTTGATAAGACCAAAACAATCGAAAGTTATTTCATTGAAAAAGCGATGATCAATCAAGAACTAGTTGTTGTACCAACTATATACCAATTAGTGATAAATAAATCGTCACAATACGATTCCATTGTTAATAAATGCGCGTATCTATTTACTCAACATGTGATCATACATAAAATTACGCCATAAAATATTATAATATGAAAGTTCACGAATATTTTTTAATTATTTTTGTTATTCCGGTTTATACTTTACATTTTTCCCTAGAAATTTCTTAATTATGGTTAAAGAACTTCCAAGAGAATTGTGGCTCGAAGTATTTAAACATTTTATTGTTAATTTTGGGTAAATGAATGAATGATTTTAATTTTACTTAAATTTTCTTTATTCATACAACGTGTTAAATTATATATTTTTTTTGGACAGTTTTGCGGAACTCTACAAGTATCGTGAAGTTTGTAAAGTTTGGTATGAACTTATTATTGTCATCGTTATGGAAAAATTAATGAGTATGTTAACGAGAATTAAGGTAAATCGATGTTTTTTATAAAAATTTAAGTAAAAAAAAATTTTTTTTTTTTGTTACCAGAAAGATGAATAATATGTGTATATAATATATTTTTTTTCTAGTATTATTACCGAATTCTCAAAGGTTCAAGTGAAATGGAAGAAGAAGTAATAACGACTAATGCTAGTACTTCTTCGGAAAATACTAATGATACCATCTCATATAATTATAAAATGGAATCATTTGAGTATCATTTCATCACAGCATTAAAATATGAACAGGATAAGGAAGAAATATTTAAACAACAAGAATGTTACAGAATTTGTATAATTTTTCATCTAGCTTACAAGTTTTTTAATTTTAATTTAATCAAAAAATTTAGGGAAAAATTTATTGTAAATAACTGGTTTAACATTGAAGAAATTATTGATCATGATTCTAGATTTATTCAAAAAATTATTATCAAGGGTAATAAATTATTGCCTTGCATTGATCAAATTCATGATTTAATTGATGTATTAAATAATCTACCCTATCAATAAATCTATGTACCTAAGCACTTGTAAAATCAGTACATATCCAACACCAACATAATCAAAACAAATGAATATGTATATAATTTATTTGAAATTATTCTTGGTTTAAATAATCTAATAGATGTGTAAAATAAAAAAAAAGGTCTTTTCAAGAAATATGGTCTCGCAATACTATTATTATAAGTTTTTTTCTTTTTTTATTAAAAAAAAAATTACGTATATTATAATTAAGCTACAAAAATTAATAATCCCTCGGACGTTCGAAACACTAAATCACTAAATCAAATCACACTGATTTTATTATCTTTCATATCTAATTATTAGTATGTAACGTACCTTTATTCTAGTCATTAAAGGTAATTATAGCAGGATATTCAATAGCTCCCTGCTTTAAAAGACTTGGACGTTCGTATCGGTATTGGTAAAAGATAATAATGGAGATGTTATCTGATAAGAAAATAATCAACTTCCATTTATTTATTATTCTTCTTTGTCGATACTGATAAAAAATAAAAGCAATCAAACAATGTACTAATTAAATGATGATATCAGACAGATAAGCGAATAAATAAGTCAATTTACAAATTTTTTAATGCTTTACTTATCTACTGCTCTTTTAAGTATTTTTTTAAAACAATAGTTTTCTCTAAATTCATTATTAACATATTATTTTCGACTTTCCATCATCTTTGAACTTCTTAACCTCATCCTAATTATTTTATAGAATATACCCCTTAAAGTTCCTCTTGAATATGTTTTTCTAATATATATATAAATTACCTTAAAAATTTTTAATATCTAATCCCATTGAATATTAACCCGAAAATTTTAAAACGTTTTCACTTTAACTGGATTAAGGTCTTTTTATTCATTTTTAATTTGTAATATAAATTCTTACTAAATATTTTTTTTTTTCTGTTTTAGAACCTTTTATATTTATAACTTTTTAAATTTTTTAGAAATGTGATTATATTGATGTATAAGCATATATGATATATTATATACTCATGTATTTAGGGAGTAAAAGAAAAATTAAAAATTTTTTTTGCATATTAGCGGTAATTCCAAAATTGAACTCATATTTATATTCGCTATCAAGATTAAATCATTCCATTTGCGAGTTAATTCTTTGTAGATTTATACAGTTCAATAACAAAAGAAAATGAGCTTTCAAAAAAAAAAAAAAAATTGTTCAGATTTCCATCGCATTTGACAGCACCATCATTTACAGGGGGGATATACGAAAGATTTCACAATTCATTAGTTCATGCCATTTCTGAACTTTTCGGATGATTTTATCTATATTTCGCAAATGCGATCCATTTATAAGGAGTGAGTTTCTCGATGTATCGTATAAATGAATCGCCGATTATTATATTTGTGCTTCGCAAAAATATTTATAAAAGGTGTGACAAGTGTTGCAAACCGGATGTTACAGGTAATCGGTGGCCCAGACGTATGGGGGGCACTTGAAGAACCTTCACCACAGCCAACAAGATTGATTAAGATTTTTGAAAAAGACAAAAAAAAAAGGATCAACTATTTATTGTTTGTTTTTCAAAAAATAACGCCTACACTATCAAAGGTAAGTATTTGAATTTCAAAATTATGAAAGTTCCCCAGATAAATACCACAATAAGTCAATGATATTCGCTCTCGTGCAACCAAACGTGGACATTATGCAGCGTTCTAGTAAATTCTTTGTCAAAAATTGAACTTTTTGTTCATTGAAACTTTATATTCGTCAATCGAAAAATGTTAACCTGATCTACATATAAAAAGAGAAAAACGGGAATCGTCTCAAACGTTTTAAATTCATCATTTTTTAATGGTGGCTTGGAATTTTTGGGGACTTGGGGTAAAGAGAGCAAGTGATGAATGATCTAATGTTAGACGGGTCACTAGTTTTTCCATTCACATGTAGATAAACATAATGTTAATTGTTGATAAATTTGTGCGACATTTCGTTTCAATTCATTGCATTTCATTTTTTCCACATGAAATGTAAGAATTAATTTTTACACATCAAAAAAAAAAAAAAACTGCCAAATTTTGGGGGGTGTCACCTATACCTTTAATAGGAAATTCAAAATTTAAACTACACCAGATTTCAAATAAATGGTTAATCCTATCAAAATAAAATCGAATCAGGTTTCTTTTTTTTTTTTGTTTTCCTTAAAATGATTTTCGATTTTAACATGTGCCTAGATTCAATAAATAAGTTGAAGATAACTTATCCTTTTTATATCCGTACTAATGATAATGAAAATACCCTTTTGTATACAAATCGATCGATTTAATTTAATAAAAAGTTATAAAACTGAATAAAGAAAATCACTCTTTTTTTTACATTGTAAAAAAAAAAATTATATATTTTTTTTTTTATCCAACTTCGTTCATTTTATATTATGAATCAAAATATTAAACAATTTATTGGTAAGATATTTTATCTACGATTGCATCGATTCTTTGAATTCGAATTGTGATTATGATCTAAATTG